CTCCTCCTCCTCCTCCTCCTCCTCCTCCTCCCCCCCTCCTCCTCCCTCCTCCTCCTCCTCCGCCTCCTCCTCCTCCTCCTCCTCCTCCCTCCTCCTCCTCCGCCTCCTCCTCCTCCTCCTCCTCCCCCTCCTCCTCCGCCTCCTCCTCCTCCTCCTCCTCCTCCTCCTCCTCCTCCTCCTCCTCCCCCTCCTCCTCCTCCTCCTCCTCCTCCTCCTCCTCCTCCTCCTCCTCCTCCTCCTCCTCCTCCTCCCTCCTCCCCCTCCTCCTCCTCCTCCTCCTCCTCCTCCACCTCCCTCCTCCTCCTCCTCCTCCTCCTCCTCTCCTCCTCCTCCTCCTCCTCCTCCTCCTCCTCCTCCTCCTCCTCCTCCTCCTCCTCCTCCTCCTCCTCCTCCTCCTATTCCTCCCCTTCCTTCGCCTCCTCCTCCTCCTCCTCCTCCTTCGCCGCCCTCCGCTGGCCTGGGTTTGGGAGCTGCTCCGTGGCCCGTTGGGGACTTCGCGCGCGGCGGGGCCCTGGCCGATCCAGGTCTGTGCTGACCCGGTGGAGTGCGTCCCCGAGTGCTTCGGGAGCCTCGAGAGGGGGGTCAATGCAAACGGGGGTCAGCCAGAGCGCCCGATCTTGCAGGATCCTGAATGGCCAGGGTCGCATTGACCCGGGCTTGGGTGCAGAATCCTGCAGGATCCTGCAGGATCCTTCGCATTGACCCGGGCTTGGGTGCAGGAGCTTGCAGGATCCTGCAGGCCTGACTGGCCCCATCACCCAGCTGCGCGCGGCAATCCCGCGGCCGCGCCAGCCCAGCACTTCGGGCTGCGACCATGGCGGCGATGCGCGAGGAGGAAGGCTAGGGGCGCGAGGCGAGGGGGGAACGAAGAATGCTGGAGGCTGCCGAAGGGCACGAAAGAAGCGATGGCGGTGACAAGGGTTTTCAGTAGAAGACGAAGATGGACGTAGCCAGGGTGGCAGCGGTGCTTGCGCGAGCACGGCGATGGCAGCGGCGACAGGAGTCGCGCTAATGATGACGGTGAAAGCGATGATGGTGTTCATGGTGGCGGTGGCGATGATGGTGGCGATGTTGACGTGCGCGATGGCGGCGGTGATGGCGGTTATGCAAATGGGTCTTTTGGTCTCTCAGGTCGACGTTGCGGCAGTCCTGGGCCGTCTCCAGCCAGACGCGAGGCAGGCATGGAGGCGCTTCGCGTCATTGTAGGGCGTTTTTGGACCGTTCACGCGCCATCGAAGGCGTCGTTTAGGCAGTGCGTCAGCGGAGCGCCGAAAGTGCGACGCCGCGGAAGCCGACGAATCAGACCATGAAAAATTTAAGGCGCCGCCCACGTTGGCCCCTTCGAACTTACGCAAGCCCTACCAGACAGCCCCCAGCCACCCTGGCGCCCCATTAGCACGCAAGCGCGGCAGCGGGTCTGGACAGAGCAGCCGAAGTCGTCGCCACCGCGGCACAGTCGCCTCCTTCGTCGTCTTCGGAAGAGAACTGCGCCAGCAGCTGCGGTGGCTCGGACATGAGGTCGGCTGAAGCGCGCTAGATCGACCACGACGAGCAAGCCAGGCCCGGTCATCAGCAGCAACGCCGCGGGGGTGGCCATCGAAAGGATCCGCGCGCACCTCCGAGGCGCTGCAGGCGCGGGGGCGCCGGGGGCAGCCGCGGGCGTCAACGCTCGGAGGAGCCCAGGCGGCGCGCGCAAGGACATCTGGAAGGACGCGGCCGCGGAGCAGGGGCCGGAGGCAGACGCGGCGGCTTATATATCCGCCTGCGGCCTAGCCCACCGCCGACCCCGACGTGGGGGAAGGAGGGGATCTCACCAGGACTGGGGCGGCCATCAAAGGGGGGCCCAGGCGCCGCAGAGAGGTCGGAGGTCCGCGGGCGGGGTCGAAGTGCCGCGGAGGCCCCCCGCCGGAAATCGGCTCCGGTTCCGCGCTGCCCCGCGGTTCCGAGGTTGCTCCGATGTTTGTCCCCGCGGGTGCCCCGACGGTTGCCCCGATGGTCGTCACGATGATTGCTGCGACGGTCGTCTCGCGGGTCACCCCGATGGTTGCCCCGATGGCTGCCCCGACGGTTGCCCCGACGGTTGCCCCGATGGCGGGCCCGATGGTTGCCCCGACGGCTGCCCCGACGGTTACCCCAGCGGTTGCCCCGACGGCTGCCCCGATGGCTGCCCCCGATGGCGGCCCCGACGGTTCCCCCCGCGATTGCCCCAACGGTCGCCCCTATGCTCGCACCAAAGTTTGCCCCGGCGGTTGCCTCGATGGTTCCCCCGATAGTTGCCCCGACGTTCGTTCCCACTGTTGTCCCGGTGGCTACCCCGATGGCAGATGCTTCGACAGCTGGGGCGATGAACAGATAGCGGGGCCGGTATGTCGATGGATATTGAGAGGGGTAGATAGTGAGATCGACAGATCGGTAGATGGCGGGGTCGGTCAACAGATATAGGTGGTGGCGGGATAAATTGGCCATGGAGCTGGCAAACAGATAGTTCGATCGGTAGATCGGCAATGGGGTGCATGGGTAGCTGGGTCGATGGGCAACGAGGGCGGTAGATAGAGAGATCAGTAGGGTGCGGGGCCGATGCATGGATAGATAGCGGCATCAGTCGTTGGATAGTGGGATGCATCGAAAGCGGGGTCGGTGGATAGGTCGTGAGATGGCTATATACATATATATATATATATATAGGAGACCGATGAGTATATAGTGCGACCCAAACATCGATATCGGAGGTGACGGGGTGAGATCGAAGTGGAACGGAAAGACCCCCACCGGGAAATCGGTTTCGGTTTCGTGCTCGTGCGTGCCGTGCGTGCGGGTGAGGCGAAGCTGCGTGGGCGGACGAGAGGAATTTCTCCTGTGGCTGAGGCGCGGCCGGACCAAATGATTCCCCCCCGCAACCGGTGGCGCGCGGTGCCCCGCCTGTGTCCCGCTGGGGTCCCGCTGGTGTCCCGCCGGTGTCCCTCCGTGGCTGGGCCGCGGCCGGACCAAAAGGTTCTCCGCCCGGCAACCAGTGGCGCGCGGTGTCCCGCCGGTGTCCCGCTGGTGTCCTGCTGGTGTCCCGCCGGTGTCCCGTTGTTGTCCCGTGGTGTCCCGTGGTGGGATCGACAGTGCGATCGATAGCGAGATCGATAGTGAGCTCGATAATGAGACCGATAGTGAGACCGACAGTGAGACCGACAGTGAAATCGATCGAGGGAGATCGATCGAGTGAGATCGATAGTGAGATCGATTGTAGGAACGATAGTGAGAGCGATAGTAAGATCGATAGTGAGATCGATAGTGAGATCGATAGTGAGATTGATAGTGAGACCGATAGTGAGATCGATCGATAGTGGGATCGATATTGAGATCGAGAGTGAGATCGACAGTGAAATCGATCGAGTGAGATCGATAGTGAGATCGATCGAGTGAGATCGATAGTACGGTCGATAGCGAGATCGATCGTGGGATCGATGGTATGGTCGATAGTGAGATCGATAGGGAGATGGACCATGAGATCGATAGTGAGACCGATTGGAGGATCGATAGTAGGATCGATCGATAGTGGGATCGATATTGAGATCGATAGTGAGATCGATAGCGAGACCGATAACAAAATCGCTTGTGAGATCGATCGAGTAAGATCGATAGTGAGATCGATTGTGGGATCGATAGTGGGATCGATAGTGAGATCGATTGTGAAATCGATTGTGGGATCGATAGTGAGATCGATTGAGTGAAACGTTGGTTTCTCCTCCCCCCTCACCTCCTTATCACCCGGAGGGTGGTCGTATAGGTATGCAGTGCGATTGGCGCATGGAGAGAGATTGGGATCCATAGATACGGCCTCCTTGTCGACAGTCGATTGGCCCCATGGGAATCTGCCACTGCCCGGGCAGCCCCGGGGCAGCCGCGCTGCGAACAGGCCTCAGCAGATGCGCGGCGCCGCGACAGTGCACAAGAGCTGGAGCGCCCGCCGGAGGCGGAGGGGCGCCCGCGGCAGAAGCGCCGCCGCCGTGCCGAGGTGGCGGGCGGAGGGCCCACCGCCGCCATGCTGCCGGCCAGCGCCGGGGGCGGCCAAGGAGACCTCTCTCGGGGAAGGGGCCCAATCTGGTTCGGGGCGCCCCCGCTCTGGCCAGCCACTCGCAGATGCGGGGGGCGCGCGCGGGCGTGGGCCCGAACTTTCGTCGCGCGCGCGCGCTGGGCCCGCACAGCACAGACATGGCACAGCCTCGGGCAGCTTACAAGCGGAGGGGCGCGGGGCCCCCCACGGCACTTCGCAGCATAAGCATAGCATGGCACTGTTCAGGAGGAGAAAAGAAAAACACCGACACAATTAATCGTCGATCCCCCAGAAAGTACGGGAAACTATGGGAATTGGGGGGAAGACAGAAACCCAGAAAATATGGGAAAACATGAGGGGATCCTTTTATTTGTGTGTATTTATTTGTGTGTCCCAGGGCCCCTTCAACTGCATTGTACACCACTGCGCAGCTTATCATAATCGCACCATCGGGCGGAAACGATGAGGGGGCGTCCCCCCGTCTCTCCCGACATTCCAAGGTGGCGCGTCGGGGGGCGACCGCGGCGAAGTGCAAATCAGATCCCTTGCCAACGTTGACCATGGGGGGATCTAGCGTGGCACGAGCGTTCGCTGTTTGTTTCCGACGCCTGCACCAGCCCAGCGCCGGCCGATGGCTTGCGAGACATTGCTACGCGCGCGCGGCTATGCGTTTCCCATAGATCGCATTCCGAAGGCTTGCGAGTTATGGGACAAGCAGACCTCGCCGACTGCCCCAACTTGCTTTAATCGTGTTTTCACGTTTCCCACACTTCGGGATGGGAACGCATAGCCGGACGAGTACCCTCCTCCTTCCTTTCCTCCTCCCCTTTTTCCCTCTTCCTTCCATCCTCCCTCCTCATCCCCCCATCCGCCCTCCCTCCTCCCCCCTCCCCCCCTCCGTCCCTCCCTCCTTCCCCCCCTCCTCCTTCCTCCTCCTCCTGCCCCCGCGCGCCCCGAGGCCGTGCGACGAGGGCCGACGGACCTGGCGGTGCGGAACCCAGTGTTGTTGCTCCTGCTCCTGCGCGCCGCGGAGGCCCCCCCCCGCTGGGGCGCGCCAGCCCCAGCCGAGAGGGCCGAGAGCAGCGGGCGGAGCGAGCCGAAGCCACCCTTCGGTTGTCTCGGAAGTTGCCCTTCGGTTTGGGAGTGGCTTCGGAGGCTGAGGTCCTGGCGTCCCGTGGCGGGGCTCTCACCGACGATTTCGGGCAGACGTTTTTTGTCGGGCGTGGGGGGGTTCGAACGTTCTCGTCGGTTCTGGTGTTCTCCTACGACCCCCCCGCTGGGGCGCACAGGCCCCAGCCGAAAGGGCCGAGATCGGCTTCGCCCAAAAGTGACCCATCGCCGGCGTGACCATCTGGCTCAGGCCCAAAAGGGTCCCCGCAGCGCTTGCCAGCGCGTTTGGATTTGACCTACCTGCGGCCCCCCTGAAGCCGTGCACCAAATGTCACGCTTGCCCAGGCCAGTCGACGAGGGCTCCGGGCGGGGCCCCAGGGCGCCGAAACGAGCCGATGGCACCCTTCGGTTGTCGTGTTCCTGTTTTTCTGCCGTTGTTGTCGGTCTTTGGGGAGGTCCTCTCTGTTTCTCCTCTCTCTCTGCTATTCTTTGCTCCGTATCTGTGTGAGGTACCACTGGCCGTGGCGTCAGCGGGGGTACATGCACATCCCGCGTCTGCCACTCTGCATTTTCCTTTAGTGGCCCCAGCGTTTCCTCCTCCTCCTCCCCCTCCTCCTCCTTCTATCCTCAGATCCTCCTATCCTCCTATCCTCATCCTTCTCGTATCATCCTCCTCCTCATCCCCCTCCTCCTCCTCTTCCTCCTCCTCCTTCTCCGATCCTCCTCCTCCTCCTCATCCCCCTCCTCCTCCTCCTCCTCTTCCTCCTCCTCCTCATCCTCGTCCTCCTCCTCATCCTCCTCCTCCGTCTCCCTCTCCTCCTCCTCCTCCTCCTCCTCCTCCTCCTCCTCCTCCTCCTCCTCCTCCCTCCTCCTCCTCCTCCTCTTCCTCCTCCTCCTCTCCTCCTCCTCCTCCTCCTCCTCCTCCTCCTCCTCCTCCTCCTCCTCCTCTCCTCCTCCTCCTCCTCCTCCTCCTCCCTCCTCCTCCTCCTCCTCCTCCTCCTCCTCCTCCCCTCCTCCCCCTCCTCCCCCTCCTCCTCCTCCTCCTCGTCCTCCTCCTCCTCTCTCCTCCTCCTCCTCCTCCTCCTCCTCCTCCTCCTCCTCTCCTCCTCCTCCTCCCTCCTCTCCTCCTCCTCCTCGTCTTCCTCCTATCCTCCTCCTCCTCCTCCTCCTATCCTCCTCCTCGTCCCTCCTCCTATCCTCGTCCTCCTCCTCCTCCTCCTCCTCCTCCTCCTTCCTTCTATCCTCCTGTCCTCTTCCTACCCTCCTTCTATCCTCCTCCCATCCTCCCCCTATCCTCCTCCGATCCTCCTCCGATTCTCCCTCTATCCTCCTTCTATTCTCCTCCGATCCTCCCTGTATCCTCCTCCTATCCTCCCCCTATCCTCCTCCTATCCTTCGCATATCCTCATATCCTCCTCCCATCCTCCTCGTATCCTCCTCCGATCCTCCTCCTATCCTCCTTCTATCTTCCTAAAAAACTCCGATCCTCCTCCTATTATCCTCCGATCCTCCTCATATCCTCCTCCTCCTCCTTCTCCTCCTCCTCCTCCTCCTCCTCCTCCTCCTCCTCTGGCATCTTGTGCTTTCAAATCTGTTCTGCCCTCGGGCCTTGACTCTCCTTTCTCTGGCCCGTTTCCTCGTCGCTTCACTGCTTGTTTTCAATATTGTACGCATGGGACCGTCGTTTTTCCAGTTCGGCAGTCATCATGTTATCCTCTGTATCACGCTGTCGCGCAGCTTCGCTGTTGTGGTTTGCAGGTCATGAGGTCGAGTTGGTCTGTTGCTTTGCTGTGAACAAACCTTCCTGCAGGTTTTCCTGCGCACCTCCCACCCACCCCGCTGGGGTGCGCCGGCCCCAGCCGAGAGGGCCGAGATCGGCTTCGCCTACGAGTGACCCTTCGCCGGAGTGACCTTTGGTGCGAGCATTTGCTTGCGCGCTTGGATTTGCCCTACCCGCGGCCCCCCTAAAGCCGCGCACCGAACTTCATTCTTGCCTAGCTCAGGGTCTCTCTTCCGAGTAGCCGACGAGAGCTCTGGGCGGGGCCCCAAGGCGCCGAAACGAGCCGAGGCCACCCCTCGGTGCTCAGGCGTTGGGGTATTCGAACGTTTTCGTCGGTTCCTGGGGGGGTCCTGCGACCCCCCCCCACCCACCGACCTTTTGGTGCGGGCCCATTGGGGCCCCCCGATCAGTCATGGTGGGTTGGCCCTACAAATACAAAGATCAATGCATCGTGATTTGTTGACGGCAACCAGATAGCAAGCCAGGAAGCATTCAAAATAAGATGTCAAACAGCAGTTCAAAAAGGAAACACCGATGAATGCGCCCACGAGCTCGCCAGCGAGACAGAGCAGAGCAAGTGGGGCAAGCGAGTGCGCTGGGACAGGTATTCGATTGGTTGGGACCGCGCATGCCAGCGGCATGGGTTGGAGGCGTCCCTCGACATGCTCGCGGCCTCCGAGGCATGGGTCAAATGCTCGGGGGCGGGGCGCGGCCAGGTTGCAGGCGCGGTTTGGGGGAGGGCGGTGACGAGATTTGCGCTTGGTGTTTCGTGGCGGCCGGGTTCCTTGTGGGAGTCGTCGATTGGCGGCTCTGTTTCTGTTGTACAGAGCGGCGTACAACGCCCAGCTGAGCAACAAATTATTAAATTGTGTAACGGCCCAGCCACGCAATTCCAAGTGCGCCAAAGGAGCGCTAGACATCGAGGACATATGGCCTAAGCTGCGCCATTGGCCCGTCGGCGCCCCTGGAGTCGCCCGCGCAGGAACTGGTATCCCAAAAAAGGACCCCCAAAGGCGTTGACAATAATATGCCGAAAAAGGACCCCAACTAGCGTCCGCAATCGCGCGCCGAGAAGGGAGCAAGTACCAAGAGGTCCTCGCCGCACAGAGCGCCGCAAAATGCTCAACAAAAAGGGCCGCATAACAGTTTTCCCTGTGCGGGTAGGCGCGCGTCGAAGGTCGGGGGACCTTTTTGGTGAGCTTTTTTGCACATGTTGTTGCCATGCTTGGCCAGTAGGCTTTTGCGGCGCAGTTGCGCGGCAATTTTGTGGACAGAGTTTTGTCGCAACATGTGCGGCGCATTTTCGCGGCGCAGTTTTTGTGACTTTCGTTATCTTTGTTTTGCCCCGCATTTTGGGTGATAAATGCTGTGGCGCGTGGATTGTTTTGTTTTGGTCATTTCCGTGGCGATTCCCCTGAGTGGGACATCGCCCGTTCCCCTAGCATCCGACTTTCTCAGGAATGGACAAGTTGGGACGGGCCCCTTCCCCAACCGCGCCTCGCCGCGCGATGATTCTCATCGCGACGCACTTTTGCATGCGAGGATATGGTCCAGCCCGTTGGTTGAGGCCATTGCGCGCAATCCTGTGCATTGCTGCGCCTGTGTTAGCTGTATTGCGTGCCGTTGCGGCGTGTTGGGAAATGGTGCCGTGCGCTGCTGATGTATCGCAGTTTCAGTGTTGGGCTGCGCCGGGCGCTGCCCTGGCACGCCATGTTGTGGGCCAGGCCGCGACGCGCCTTGCATCCCAGCGCTCGCAGCAACAGGTTTTCACGCGCGGCCTGGAGGGAGTATTTGGTGGATTTGTTCCACGCCGCGCGCGCCTTGTTCCTATGTTTACGTTTTAGTGTGGCGCCCTTTTTGGGGGGATCGGAACACGTCTATGGGATGGGGGCCTCAGCGACGATCAGTGAGCGCGACGCGATAGCAACGTCCTGCGCGCTTAGGTTTGGGGCCCCAGAGCGGTGTGGTTACCAAACCGTTTCGGAAGGTCTCCTCGATCATGATCGCCTTGGTGGGGGCGCCGCCCAGCGAGGAAGCCTTGCGCGACGGCGGCCCTGCAATGACATTCACGGACGGAAGGTCTCGATAGTTTCCGATCGGTTTCCGAAGTTTCTGGGCCTCGGGGTGGTTTCCAACAGCTGCGCCTCGCCGAGGGCGTTCCGGGGGTGCTGGATTCGTCCCGAACGGCCGCCAGAGAGCCAAGCTCATGGCCCAAAAGTCCCGCGTGGTGACTACACCGCGTGGTGAGCCAGTGGGGATTCGGGGTCACCGCACGGTTTTGGAACCCGGATCGTTCTCTGAGGACGTTTCGGGCGGCCTGTACTTTTGGTGTCCCAAAATCGTGCGGTGACGGACCGCGCGGTGAGGTCGTTGGGGATTCCAAGTGCACCACGCGGCCCGTCACATGGTTTGGGGGCCCCGAAGGTTGTGCACTCGAATTGCCCCTCGATTATAAGCCCTTTCGTCACTGCCGACCAGAGCCAACATACGTTGCGGTTCGCCCTGCAATCCTGAGGCCCCCCGCGAGTAAAGGAATGACGATGAGAATGGAGTGTGGAAGAGGATGGGGGAGGGAGGAGGAGGATGGAGAGACGAGGAAGAGGGAGAAGGGAGGAGGGTTGGTTGGGCAATCGGCGGTCAAGCCAGGGCGCCTCCCACATCATATCCACACTGAATGCGCCTGAACGTCATCAAGGCGACAGACATAAACGTCCGAGGACAATGCCGGGAAGAACGTCAGACAATGCCAGGCTGTCAGCATTGGAAAATCTTGACGCTTCGCGCATCCCCCACCAGCCGGCAGCAGATCAGCCGGCACTTGCCTTAATCGGTGCGCACAATACCAACAAGTTGGGCCCCCTCTCAGGGTTCCCGGCCAGGTGCGTGCGTTTCGCCAAAGTTTTCAAAGTAGCCAAGGAGCTGGCAGGGCTTACCCCCGGAGGACACTACCACACAGCCCACGGCAGGTTCCCATACGAAGGCGGATCACCCTCCAAAGATTCCCCCGCATTCACGAGCCTGCTGCTCAAGGATGCGAAGACAGTCATCGCCACACACGAATCTGCGGTAGCACTAAAGAAGGCCGCCCCGGTCGCCCTGCTCATCATAGATGAGGCAGGGCAGGCGCACGAGCTAATGGCTGC